TTATCAACTTATTCTTGACGAACTCTTTAAATATTAATTTTAAAGATATAGTTTTTAATACAATATTTTAGTTTATATAAAGATAACATTTTTCATTATTATAACTTTTATAATTTACTTATAAAAATTTAAACTTGTATTAAGAGCAAAATTTTTTTTAACTTTGGGAACATATAGGGCTCCGATGTTTGATTTGGGTTTGGTTTGGGTTCGGTCAAACCCAAATCCAAACCCAAACTTGAAATTTTGATGATCTGCAAACCCGAACTCACAATACTCAAACCCAAATCAAGCTCAAACATGACTGTGAATTTGGTTCGGGTTTGGCTTGAAAGTTTGCAAGCATGTTCGGGTTTGATGTATTTAATATATTGGTAATGATACTGCCTGAAACTTCATAGTTTCAGGTTAACCAAGACCGAAACTGGTATTACCAGTTTTGGAATTACTTTTCTAGACGAAACTTGCTCAAACTTAAAAGTCTAAATTTTCAAAACTATGTTAAAACTTCGAAAGTATGCTGTAACTCCCAACAATTAGTTTCTCTATAATACATTTCTAACAACTATCTCATCTACTGTACAACCATTTATCTAACAACTATTTACCAAACAATCACTTACCCAATGATTATCACTTCCTATCAACTATCATTTCCCTAAAACACCTCTTTCCTGACACTATTTGACATTATCTCTTTCCTAACACTGTTTCTCTATAATACTTTCCTAACAACTGCCTCATCCACTATACCATCACTTACCCAACAACTATTTACCAAACAATCGTTTACCCAATAATTACCACTTTCTATCAACTATAATTTCTCTAAAATACCTCTTTCCCGACACTATCTCTTCCCTAACACCTAACATGAACACTTCCCTGACAGCATTTTTCCAACAACCTTTATCCCTAATGTATTGATATATCGAATTTGTAAAAAATAATCATAAAATAAATAATTATTTAAAAATAAAAAATTAAAAAAAAAAAAAACAAAATTTGAATTAATTAAAAAACGTACAAATCAAATTTTAAGATCATATAAGACTATAATGTAAAGTTTGTAACTCAAAATATCCTATATAGTAAAATTTTGAGTTACGTACAAACTTTATATTACAGCATTATGTGAACTTTTCAAATTTAGAGATCAAGTATTTTTTTTTTTTAATTTTTAAATAAATTTTTATTTTTTTAAAATGCGCTCATAGTGGTTAACACCATACAGGTTACATGGATCAACGATTAACAGAAATATAATGATAAAGATGTGTTCTTTTTTTTTTATTCATTGTTTGTTTTTCTTTATTACTAATTAATTGTTTTTTTTTATATGTAGGATATGCAAGGTCACAATTTTTTCTGTGTGGCATCTTCCCTTTTTGGCATCGTCGTGGTGGTATCTTCACCTGTTGGTATCACTGCGTTACCCAGTAGCATCTTCGCAAGTTGGTGCCGTCATGTTACTCTACCTGCCTGCTATTACCTAGCGCCTGTCGTACCTAATTGTGCCTGGTCTCGATTGTGGTGTTAACATTTATCGGTGTCGCTGTTTGTGCAGTAAGCTTATCACTGACAACCCTGGGTTAACCATAGATGCCGCAGCAGATCCTCGATTTTGAGTGGCTAATAGTAGGGTTGTGTTACATAAATTGCAATTTTACATTACATATAATTTTGCATAATGTAATTTTTATCACACTATATATAAAGTACCAGACTTACAAAAGCTTTGCCAACATTATTGGGTCGTTTGATTTGAATATACGATTCGAATTGTAACTCCTAAATTACCAAAAATTTGATCTCAATTTACCAAATCTTACACTAAGTTAGAAATTT